GTGTGTGTGTGTGTGTGTGTGTGTGTGTGTGTGTGTGTGTGTGTGTGTGTGTGTGTGTGTGTGTGTGTGTGTGCCCGCTCTGGCAGGTGTTGCGGAGTGGTAGGTGGGCGGTAAGAGGCCGATTCTTCGAATCATATTGGCCTGGGGCGGTAGTGTTCTGGTTGAATTCACCTTTACGCTAACGATTCCCTCATAGTGGAGGCCGCTCCGGCTGGTCTGCACGGCCAGTACTGGCCTCAAAATTCGGACCGACAATTTGCGGGGGGCTTGCTGGACCTCAGAAATACACCCCCCCCCCCCCCCCCCCCCCCGCTTTTTGTTCTTTTGTGGTTTTGGACCCCTTCGTATGAGCCTCCATCGGTTGGGCATCCGGACACCGGACCGCAGACCATCTGGACGCTGGTCAGGATGTCCGCATGGTAGGCATGCTCCCAGACAAAAGTTGGTTGTATTGAAATGGTGCATTACATTTTGTTTTTCATATTCTTTTTTCCTTTTCCCTGGACATCCAGAAAATTTATGGATGGCCAAATCCACTGACGTGCGGGCTGGAAGCCCGAGGTGGGGATGGACTGGTAGTATAGGAAAAAAGGGGATTTTGCTTTTGCTTGATTCATGTATGTCAATTTACGATGCTCTTTCTTTCTCAGGCAATAAGCTGTCTCCTGTTCTTTTCATCCCAATGTTTTCGCACACGCATGAACACACCAATTTGTACTCCTGAGGGTGTTGGATTTGATTTGGATGGAATCCGATGGATGCCCTCATCTCTTTCTTATCTTGTAGGTAGGCAGGCAGGTAGGCAGGCAGGCAGGGAGGCGGCAGGGAATCAGGCAGGAGGCAGGCAGGGAGGCAGGCAGGGATGTAGGCAGGGATGTAGGCGGGGAGGGAGGTAGGTAGGCAGGTCGGTAGGATGTTCAACAGATTGTTTGCACTTCTTAGGGTGTTGGATTTTATTTGAATGAATGCCCTCCTCTTTTATCTTATGTTATCTTATGTTATCTTATGTTATATTATGTTATCTTATGTTATCTCAACTATCATATCTTATCATATCGTACCTTATCATATCTTATATGTATGTAACGTATGTATATATGTACGTATGTCTGATCTTCAACAGATTGCAGCCTATCCATTTACCACCTTGGTTCCGAACCTAGGAGTGGTGGAGATCGACTTCGAGTCGTTGGTTTTTGCAGATATTCCAGGACTATTGGAAGGTGCTCACACGGGGATCGGCTTGGGTCAAGAATTCCTGAGGCACATAGAGAGGTGCCGTGCTCTGGTGAGTATATATATATATATATACACAGTTTGTCACAGCCCCTCGTTTGTTGTCCTCTTCTCCCTCTCTGCCTACGGTTTACCGGGCAAGTCTGTTTGACTATATATATATACTAGATGACCCGTTGCAGCTTCGCCCGCAAAAACAGAAAACTAAAAAGCACAAAAGAAAGAAAAAGCATAAGGAACTGCCCTATCATATGCCGCTTGTTTCACAAAAACAAAAAGCAGAGCCTGAGAGCATACAGAAATCCGCGTGCAAGAGATAGGAGGGAATACCACCGAACTGTTTTTGTTTCTTATCTGCGAGTGTTTTGTTTGGGAAGCCGCTGCCTTTGCACCATCGTTTTTCTTTGGTGCTGTGCAAGAACTGTGAACTTTTATGAGAAAATCCTGTCCGTAGTCCCGTTGACGTTTTTGCTAAAGATTCCGATTCAGACTTTCGTTTTCTATGTTCTCTGAATATGTTTGTGATAAAGCGATCTTGCATGTATGCCTCCTGCTTACTTGCCAAGTCTTGACTCTATGTGCGCAAGTGCATGCGCGTGTGGGTGAGTT